TCTCCCTATAGGGTTAAGTTAATGCTGCTTACTGTACTGTCTACCTTAAATTGTCTAATTGAGATAATTAGCTGTAAAGCCAAAAGTACTTAAGAAACAAAGAGTAAATGCAACTTATCTTCAGTTTAACCCAAATGTGTAAGAATCTGTGACTTGTGTGACTTCTAGTGGTAATATTAGACAGACAAACAAAAAGCTGCGCTAAACATATCAGAATAATTTGAAAGATGCTCTGACAACGTATAAAAAGTCTGCCAATGGTGCTTTTAAAGAAATATTAATGGTGATGATAACCATTGTTTTTGAACTAAAGATTTTTTGTTTCTTTTTGTTTGGTGCTACAGGAAAACAGACATACAGACATGTTTTTCAGTGATAACCCACATTGTTAATATGGTACTAACAACTTTTCATTCATTATTTAGCTCTTATTTTTTCCCTTTCCTTTGGCAGCTGTGAGGCGAGCCACTTGATGGTGTGTTTGCGTGCTTCCTCCCACGTGTATCTAGGGACGTATCCCAGGTCCCTCTTAGCCTTCTGATAGGAGAAACTGAACGGCGTGTTTAACATAGTGACAAGCTGCCGGTTCAGCGGTGGGACGATGCGTACAAAAGGTCGCAGCATCGTGCACACAACCTCCAACAGGAAGCAGAACACGTAGAGGAGGTGGAGCGGCAGCATAAGTTTCTCTTGAATGTTGAAGCCCAGAGGTGACATCATGACATGGTTGAAGTCTGAATAACTCACATGTGGCGTGTCATCAGAAATAAAATAAAACTGTCCTCCAATATCATTTCTTTTTTGTGGATCTTTGAGGCTGCGGGCTGCTTGGAGGTGGGCCACAGCCACGTTGCCCACATAGACAGGATTCACCCGGGCCTCTGGTCGAGACATACGAAACAGAATGTCCTTGTTCCGTATCCCGTCACCCATGTGGCCCAGTAGGAAGCGGCAGCCCTCTCCATAGATGTACATCGGTCTGAGGGCGCACGTGGCCAGTCGGCCTCCATTTTGGAGCACCTCGCCATGGGCCTGCAAGGTTATCTGCTCAGCCTCTCTTTTGGTCTTGCTGTAGTTAAACTTCAGAGCACAGTCGTAGACCGTGTCCTCACTGCCGTTAACCATGGGCTCACCCTTGGGGTTTGGTCCCAACACCTCAATGGTGCTGGTGTAGATAAAGGACACCACATTCTCTTGAATACAGGCCTCCAGAAGCAGCTGGGTTCCTGTAAAGCAAAGATACTTTTATTCCTTATTAATTCTCATTCTTATAAGGTAAAAGGTAAAAATCTTAATCTCTGTCTATCTATCTTATCTCATAGGAGGGTAAACCTTTCTTCTAGTGTCACACCAACAAGAAAAAGAAGACAGACTCATATTTGAGACTTAACTGCTTTGTGTTGGTCCATTCAGGCTAAGCAGAAACAAGAAAATCTTTAGCTAAACTTTTATGTTCAAGTTCAAAGGACCAGTGTGTAGGATTCAGTGACATCTAGTGGTGAGATTGGGGATTGCGACTAACTGAATTCACCTCGTCTCACCCTCCCTTGTAAGACAAAACCTGGTGGCAGCGAAAACTTGTTTCAACTTTGTGGTTCAACATGGTGGCCCCTGTAGAAGAGGACCCACTCCTTAGATAAAAACGGCTCATTCTAAGGTAACAAAAACACTATGACTTCAGGTGATTATACACAAATGCAAACATACCCTTGAATATTATATTCCATTTCTGCCAATAGATTCTCCTAAATGTTACAGACTGGACCTTGAAGTGTAAATTCTGAATAAAGTGAAATAGAGGAAACACTGCGAGGAGCTAAAAAGTCAGTTCAAGTTAAATTACTTAAAAGTGTCAGCTGAAGTGTAAACACTGAAAGAAGTTCATGTCAGCTAAAATGTGT